AATTTGTAATAGTCAGATCTTAGACACAGTCTAAATGCCCATCGCCTTAGGAACAAATAAAAAAGACATGGTATTTTTATAAAACTGAGTACTACTCAGCTATGAAAAATGATCACACTGAGATACTTATAAGTAAATGGATGTAACTCAAGACCATACTCATAAGTGAAATAAATCAAACTCGCATGTATATGCCATATAGTCTCCCTAGTGTAAGAAATGGTAAGGGTACATGAGATACAAAAAACTGAATACATACAGTGAAAGGATAAGAACCTGGCTTAAAGGGGGGAAAATAATATCTCAGGGAAAATGAGGAAAAAGAAAAAGGAAGGGAAAAGAAAAATATCAAATTATATAAACACACAGGATAGCTGATTGTGCTACAAATTCTGTAAGTCCTTGGAACAAAAAGTTAGCATTCATAGGACTGGAACAATTGTGCATGTTATTGTAGGGTGACCTGAGGAACTCTTGAAGATCATTATGTAAAATAACAACCCTAGTTACACTCATACCACCTTGTTTTGAAGGCCCATATTGTCAGTGTTCTGGGCACTTTGCTATTGTTATTTGTCTTTTTTGTGTCATTTTTTCTAGCAATTTGTTTTGTTTTTCCCTGTAATATAGAAAGGATAGGTATACATATAGAGACTCAGCATAGAACTTTGCCTAAACAGTTTATGAGAATTGATTATATAATGCATGATGAAATGAACAGCTACTTTAAAAAAGAGAGACACTATAGTATTCAGTGCTGATTTTGTAGCATCATGATGTGAAATCTAGCAATACTATTATTCGTTATTCAGAGTGGTTAGTCTGTTTTGTATTGTTTAAGTTCAACATACATGAAGGTATGGACAGCTATTTTGGAGAGAACAAGAGACCTTATAGCAGCCATTGTTAATTTCCCTGTTGTCTGATTTTGAAGGCCTATAATGCTTTCATCATTCTGTTCTGATCAGTATAGTAGTATTTTGTTTTGTATTAATTCATTGTGTGTGAAGATATGGACAACTATTTAGAAGAAAACAAGAGACTATGATAGCAAAAAAAAATCCTAATACAACTCGGGAGGCTGAGGCAGAAGGATCTCCACAAGTTCAAGGTCAGCCTGAACTGTAGGATGAGACCAAAAAAAAAAGCTTTCTCCTCAAAGCGAATTATCTCTGGTGTTTTGCTACAGCGATGCAAAGCTGACTGGCCAAAGCCCAGGCAGAGGAGCACCCAGGACGGGGAGGGGCAGTTGGTAGGGACCTAAAGGGCTCAGAGCAGCTGCTAGGGTGCCATGGAGGAGGAGGGGCTACACGGAGGAGACTGGAAGGGTCACAGCCTGGGCTGAGGGTGTGATCCGAACTCTTACTCCTGCTCCAGCCGCCTTGAGGACCTGGCTTGGCCCCCAGACATTCACAGGAAGCAGTCTCAGCACAGCCCAAGCCAGGAAGGGGCCTCTGTGGGACAGATGGTCTGCGGGACAGACTGGGGAAGAAGCAGCACATGGGCCTGGGTCCCACAGAGCAGCAAAAGCAGTGAGGGGGCTCACCCCACAGCAGCCAGCACTCGGCCAGGCCCCTGAGGTACTCAGGTCCTGGGGCTAACTCAGCCCAGGTCCCCTCGAGGCCCCGCCCCAGTGACCTCACTTCCTCCCTTGGCCCCGCCTCCCAGAGGCTCCTGACCTCTCAGTGGCGTCGCAGGTTGGTGGCCAAGCCTTTAGCTTGTGAGTCTTGGGGCCTGCTCACCGACCACAGCCCCCTCACCCTTGCCGGTACCTTGCAGCACCTGAGGGACATCGCACTTGTCCGCCCCTTCCCCGCCCACCCCGCAAGCTCTCAGAGTTGGACTCCCAGTCCCATCATCTCCGGAGCTTGCGGCAGATGTTCCCAGGGTCAGTTTCACAGCAAGATTAGGGTCGAGTAGGGTGGGAGGGCTCGGGTGGGAGGACTGTCCCATGCCTCTGGCCACAGCTTGCACAGGAAGTCTGCTCTCCCTGAGATAAGCAGCTGCCTAGAAGGAAACCGAGGGGCGCTTCCTGTCTCTATCTGTTCTATGACAAGAAGTCACTGTGGTTTTACCCGCTGCTCTGTGTGATAAAGAGGACAGCCCCATTATGTAAAAGCTGCACAGACAAGGACTCTATCTCCCGCTCTGAGGAGGCCCAGCCCTGGCCACCATCAGCCTGTCACAGTCAGAGACTTGCATGTCCTTTTATACAGGAGATTAAGAGCTTCAACCTTGAGAGACTGTGGTTTTAGGGTTAGGGTTCTTGAGACCCAAGGGGGCATTAAAGAAAGAGGAGCGTCCCAAGGGAGGTGAGCCAGGGTGACACAAGGTGGCTGCATGTACACAGCACTGGGGAAGAGGAGCATGTCAAAGGCCTGAAGATGTAGGCAGGGTGTGAGTGCAAAGGGCCGTCCTGGTGTACCCAGCAGCACAGGGACACAGTCTGTGACTCCCACCAAGGGCAAGGGGTTCCTACCATGCCACCCACACTCAACAAGAGAATTGGGAATGGTGGTCATCCCCATTTCAGGAGTTTTCAGCTTGTGGACGTTCCATGGAGCTGTTAGGCAGATTCTGAATGGACAGCAGAGGAAAGGTTGGCTCTGCTCATGTTTCAGAGGCTCAGTGCATGGTGGCCATTTATCCATTGAAACGGGTAGGGGTGTAAGCTGCCCACCTGGCCATAACCAGGGAGCCGAGATGGAGAGACAGAGCCAGAGGGGAAGGGGCTGGCACCCAGTGCAGTCCGGGGAGGGGGGGGCTGGCACCCGGTGCAGTCCTCGGGGTCACAGCCCATCTGGGATGCCAGCAAAGCACAAAGTCATCCTGGATTCACCCACTGGATCACATCAGAGCCTCGGGACCGGATCATTTCCCCTGCGGCCCACCAGGTGGCAAGTGAGCCCTCAGCAAGTGTGTCTGGGGGACATTTTAAACCCAACCACAGCGACTGTCCTGGGTCATGTGCTCATTGCCCACTGAGTATGTATGGAGCACCTATTGGATCCCAGGTGCTGGGATCACAAGAAGGAGTGAGTCCAGGGTGATCTGGGCCTCCTGGGGCTGCTGGGGGTGGGGGTTGGGGGAGTCAAGAGGTTTATGTGACACCGTGCTGTCAAAACAATGGAGGTGGTAGCTTCAGGTTCTCACACCCTGGATACCTTTGCCGTGTCACACCACCCGCAGCCCCGGCTGCACCCTCGGGTGCTGTGCGCTCCAGCTCTACTGATCTGGGAGCAAGGGTGCCTCCTGCTGCTTTCAGCGTGGCGGGGAGGGGGGGGGCGGGGACCTGGTGCCTCAGTCAGCCTGAGTGGGGCGTCCCCTGGGGGCCCAGTCTCCGCCTCCGCTCAGAGCAGAATCCCAGCCAGCGCCTCCTGCTGGTCTCAGCAGACCCTCAGGGACTCGGCCTGGAACTCCTAACCAGGCCCAGGAGTCACTGGGACCCCACGGCCTGCTCCCCAGGGACACCTGGGTCTGACTTCCTGAGGACCATGCCCACAGCGGGGTGGCCAGGCTGTGTGCCTGGGCTCCACCCTGTCATCCAGGGCTGCCGTGTTTGGCAGTGGTCTGTCCTCAGGCACCACAGAGCCCCAGGGACTAGGGGAGAGTGACAGGCACCCAGGGCTCTGGGGACCAGTTAGGGGCGCAGGAGAACCCGTGCACCACTTTGAGGAGGTCTGTGGGCTTCTTTTCTTCCCCCTCCTCCCCTCCCTCCTCCCCCTTATTCGTCCTTCTCCCTCTCCCTCCCCCTCCTCCTCCCCTTCCCTCCTCCCCCCTCCTTTCTCCTCCCTCCTCCTCCTCTTCACTCCTCCCTGACCACCTCCCCTTTCCTCCTCTCCTTTCTCCCTTGGAGGCCTCAGGCCTGTTAAGCCTGCCCTCTGCACTGCACTCCACCCCATCCCTATTTTCTTTTCCAAAACCGAGAGCCACTGCTCCATCACTGCTGAATCAGCAGGGAAAACCTGGCCGGCTTCAAATCTTGGCACCCTGGCTCGAAGCCCCTTCCAGGCTGTGTGACATTGGGGAAGCAGCCTGACCTCTCTGGGCCTCTGTCCGTCCATAGGACTAACAGTAGCGGCACCTGCCTCAGTGTGGCAACCTGGGGGACTTGCTGGCCAGCACAGGTGCAGTGCAGTGCTGTCCCTCAGCAGAGCCTGGGGTGTCCGGGTGTCGCTGGATGGCACAGAGGCCACAGGGAAATGAGGCCTGCAGGCTCAGCGCCTCCTCACAGGACGGAGCCAGGCAAGCACTCTCCAGGATGCAGGTTGCTGAGCAAGGGCACTGGGCACTGCACCCCTGTCTGAGCAGTCCCCTCACAAAGGTCTTCGATGTTATTCACTGCAATCTGTTTATGGAGCACCCGCCCAGCAGACTGGAGAGTTGCCACTCAGGAGGCTGAGGCAGGATGGCTAGAACTGTAAATCCAGCCTGGGCTTCTTGAAGAGATCTCGTCTCGTAGTTTAAAAATAAAAAAGGGCTGGAGGTACAGCTGGGTGCCCCCTGGGTTCAATCCCCAGTGCCTAAGGGTGGGGGGAAAGAAAACGCTCATTCCTCACAGCTCTGGAAGCTGGGCAGGGGGACAGCACAGTGGGTCTCCTAAGGCCAGCAGAAGCCCTGTCCTAAGGGGTCCCCCAGGGATCCCACTCTAGAATGACTGGATCTTGGAGCAGAACCAACGCTGAGGACAAGCCTGCCTCCATCTTAGTGGTCCAGGCACTGGCATGGCCACACCTGGCCCCACAGGAACAGAGCTGTGACCCTCCTTTGGGGCACAGGGACCCAAGAGTGCTCCCAGGTTATTCCTTCTGCTCAACAGAAATGGAATTGGAGGTAGCCTCTAGGTACATGAGCAGATGACCAGACAAAGAAATGTAGAATTCACCTGCCACGGAGTACTACTCTGCCATAAAGAAGGATCAACTGGAGCCATTTGTAGGAAAATAAATCAGACGCCCAAGCTTAAATACTGCATGGTTTCTCTTATAAGAAAACCCCAAAGCAGAAAAAAAAAGTAAAATAAAAGATAGATGACAGCAGGCAGGGGCCAGGTCTTTTGCAAAAGGGGTTGGGATCAGGAAGGAGATGATACAATACAGTGACAGACAGAACAGAGGAAAGGGGCACAGGAGACTTTTGCCAAGAAAGGGGCGTGGGCGGTGGAGAGATGCCCCTTACAGTCGTGGTGGGGCCCGCACTCCCCAGGCTCAGCAGCTCTGCCGCGGCTCGCAGATGGACGCCGCATCATCAGTTCTGCAGGATGAGCCCTGCCAGGACCCCCAGGGCAGCATCGCCACGCAGCTCCGCGTGGCCCTGTCATCTCCGGGTTCTCCAGGGGCCCAGTTTCTGTGAAGAAAAAGCCAACAGCTCCAATCCTGTCCTCAGCCCTCGGTGCCTGTCACAGGCAACTGGGGCAGCCGAGCCTGAATGGACACCAGAGGACCCTCTGGTCCCTCCAACAGAGACTGGGCTTCTAGGGCAGCGCGGTGAGAGTGTGGCCTGGGGGTCTCCGGCTCCTGGGCCCTCTCCCCTTCTGAGTGATGTCAGGCAGACCCCACCACTTGCTCTCTCTGAGGCCATATGGAAGGTCTCCAAACCTCAGTTTCCTCTCTTGCAAAAAGAGAGTCCTGCTAAGCATGATGGTTCAGGCTTGTCATCCAGCACTTGGGAGGCTGAGGCAGGAGGGTCGCAAATTCAAGCCCAGCCAAGGGCACGTTAGTGACTTAGGGAGACCTTCTCTTTTGTTTTGTGTTTTCTTACATTTGTTTGGGTTTTTTTTTTTTACAGTGTCTGGCCTTGAACTTATGGAGATCTCCCTGCCTCGGCCTTTCAAGCATTGGGATGACAGGTGTGCACCATCATGCCTGGCTTCTAGGAAGACCCTGTATTAAAATGAAAACTAAAAAGGCTGGATAGAAGTGGAGCTCAGGGAAAGTGCTGACCCGAGTCCTGAACAAGTGGAAGAGAAACACACAGTGGCCTGAACTTGCTTCCCAAAGTCCCTCGGGGAAGATGGACCCGAGACAGTGTGACACTCATGTGTAATTGAGGACTGAGCCATTGACCCACCGGTGGGTGCCTTCCTGGGCCTCTCTGGAGAGTCCAATCCAGGTTGTGGTATTCACAGTTGATGTCAGGAAAGTCTGGATAGGAGAAGCACATTGGCTGTCTGCATAGCAAACTCTTACTAACCCATCAAAACCCCAACATGAAAACCCTAACACAAGTAGTTCCTTCCATCAAAACTGAAAGAATGGAGGTAGGAATGCCCAGGGGGCTAGTAGCAGAATGCACACAGGAACTTCCAGACAGGTGGATGGACAAAGGTACAGTGTGTGCTTTGATTCCTCACTGCAAGCCCCACACCCACCATGTTCACAATGTCTGACCTCAGACAGGTGACCTGCCTCAGTTTCCCATCTATGCAGAGGAAAGAGCACCCTCAAGCTTGAGAGTCAAGCGTGCAGGTTTGCACCCCTAGGAAGAAATGCCGGTCACATATGGACCAAGTGTCCTCTGAGGTGACTGCCATGCGCCCTGCCAAGCCTCACTCTCAGCCCGGGAGACCGCAGGGTACACAGACTGGCCCAGGTGGTGGCCGGGCAGCTGACACAGCCTATGAAGGTCTGCAGTGGAGTCTCCAGAATGATGAGGTATCCGAGATGCAGGGGAAAACATATACTGCATTCAAATTAAACAATCATGAGCCGGGCATGGTGGCACATGCCTGTCCTCCCAACCCTTGGGAGGCTGACGCAGGGGGATTCTTGTGAGTTTGAGGCCAGCCTGGACTACACAGTGAGTCGGAAGCCATCCTGAACTGCAAGGTGAGACCCTGTCTCAAAAAACAAAATAAATGAACTTTTAAAAAAAAAAAAAAAACAGTAAAAGCACACTGCAAGAACCCCTTAGAATCTGCCTCCTTCAAACACTGGTCCGTCCTCGTCCTGGCCACTTCCTGCAGCAGCTCTGGAGTCCCCTCTCCCAAGGGGCCTCAGCAGCTCTGTCCTGGCTGCCTCAGGGTCCTGATCAATTCAGAACGGCTCCCTTTCCTGGCCACTGTGACCCTGGGGAGGTCTCAGAAGTTTCATGGAGCCACACGCAGTGCATAAACCGAACGAGGACATGGCGCCTGTTTTCCCGAGCCACTTTCTGCCAGATGGCACGCGGTGGGTGGCAGTCATCGCCCCTTCGATCACACCTCCTGAAGACCCTCAGAAAGGTGCGTCTAGAGCCGCCGTCAACAGTGACAAGGAGCGGAGGACAAGTGCACTCAAGAACAAGGAGGAAGCCACAGCAACGCATCCTTCACTAGAATTTTTTAATTTACACATTCACTGTACTTTTCAGTTAACGCCTTTTACTACTCCTTAAAAATCAAGGGGAGCCTTGATTGGGTTTGGTGTTGGGGTTTTGATGGCTGAGTAAGAGTTCCCCAAGCAGACAGCTGGAGAGAGGCTCTCATGTACCCAAGGCAGAGGTGGAAAGGAGCACAGAGCTCAGAGTTCCCCCCACCCTGTGACAGGAAGTGAGGTTGGATGGGGACAGAAAAGGGCGGAGCTTAAAGACGTGGGGGGGGCCTTGAAGCCCTCCTCCCCCTCTGCCCCGCCCTGCTCCCCTCGCACCTGCTCCGCTGGGCCGCTGATGACCACGAGGTGTGCTTGTGCCCACGCACAGCCCAGCAAGGCCTGACTCCAGCTGAAGTTGCCAGGGATGACCAGGTAGCAGGAGCCCTGGGAGGCACCCCAGCCAGGGTCACAGGGCTGGCAGGAGGAGCCTGCAGGACAGGGAGCATCGCGAGTCACACACCACCGGTGGCCTCCCAGAAGGGCACAGGGGGACTTTGGGACTCAGCACGCAGAGTGACTGCACGGCCTTCCACGGCCTTCCCTTCCAGGGGAGAGTGTGGTGTGTGTGTGTGTGTGTGTGTGTGTGTGTGTGTGTGTGTGTGTGTGAGATACTCCTGTCTGCCCAGAGAGGCTGTCAGCCAGGTGACTGTGCCCCCAGGGGGCATCTAGACACAGCTGGAGATGCTTTTGGTCAACACAACTAGGGGCGGTGCACAGAACCTGGGCCCAGGCCTGGAATTCCAGGTACTTAGGAGGCTGAGGTAGGAGGATCGCAAGTTCAAGGCCAGCCTGGGCAACTTCCAGCCATGGGGGAGGAATCCTGCTAGCCTCTGTGGGGATGACCAGGCTGCCACAGAGCACCCCAAACAGCACAGAACCCGACTGCAGGCCCCAAGAAACGCTGCTTCTAAGACAAAATAATCAACTGGTCTCCAGGGTCAGGGGGAGCCTGCGGTACAGAGCTGGGACTGGGCCTGGCCCAGCCACTCCTGTAACCACCAGAGACAGACCAGGCTCCCCGGAACCCAGAGAAATAAGTATTTCTAAATGGCTGACAAAGTCAACTTTTAACGTCCTCACAAAAACATAAAAAGTGAGGCGATGGGTACCCTAATTAGCTTCATCCAGTCACCCCACAATGAACACGGAATTCATCACACTGCGCTCCAGAGTGCTGCATGGTGAGGATTTGTCATTTTGAAATTTTTTTTTTTTTTGTCTTTTTAAGACGGGGTCTCACTGTGCAGTTCAGGCTGGCCTTGAGCTCACTTTGTAGCCCAGGCTGGTCTCGAACTCACAATGATCCTTCTGCCTCAGCCTCCCTAGTGCTGGGATTACAGGCGTGAGCCACCATTCCTGGCTTGAAATCCTTTTTGAAGGAAGAAGTTATATGCAAAATAAATAATAGCAAGGTGACCCAGGAGCGCAGACCTGGAGTCCCAACTACTTGGGAGGCTGGGGCAGGAGGATCACTTGAGCCCAGGGATTGGAGGTAGCCTGGTTGTAACAGGAAGACGACATGTCAGGAAGGAGGAAGAAGAACAAGAAGGTGGCTGCACGCCTATAATTCCAGCACTCTGGAAGGCTGAGGCAGGATAATCACAGGTTCAAACCCAACTCAGGCAACTTAGCAGCGGAAGAGTATCAAGACCTTGTCTCAAAATGAAAAACCAAAAGGCCTGGTTTGTCCCTTGCTTGGTGCAAAGACCCACAAAGGAAGATGCCACTGGAGGTGGTGCAGTGGTGACAATGCTGTTCCTACATGGCTGGCACAGGGCGCCACCTCCAGCAGCACCCAACTCAGTATAAGTGCTGGAGCAAAGCATTTCCCGAGGGCTGCCAAGGCCGCACCACCCACACCCCTGTGGGATGCTTGAGGAAGCTGCCGTTCACCCCACTTTGCAACAGCTGCACCCCAAGGCCTTGTCCCCTCCCCGCACCCCTTCGGCCTCCTGGGGTTTGCCCCCCCAGCCTCACCGTTGCCCACACGGGTGGCCTCCAGTAGCCTGAACATCTCAGCTCTCAGGGTATCCCGGGCATAGCCCACACCGGCCAGTCCCTGGGCCACTGCAGGGAGAGAGGTAGGTGAGGGTCACACTCACACCAGGGCCCCAGGGGATGCCCCCTCTGCGCCACTCACCCGTCCTCTCCATCTGTGTCACTGCCATCCGAAGCTGCTGACTTGTCCTGAACACTGCAGGACACAGACAGGGACTCTGAGGCTCCTGTGCCCCCGCACCTGGCCCTAAGGTCCTCCCAGCCAGGACAGGGACCTTGGAGGTTCTGGGGCCCCGCCCTGCTCTCAGGGAAGGAAACTGAGGCCCAGAGATGTAAACTCTCCCTCTGAAGCAACCAGTGAGTGCACAGCAGGAAGACTGGAGACCTGGGGTGTCACTGGGGTTCAGCCTCTCCATAGGGAGGGGGTCTGGGGCTCTGCAGAAACCCCTGTGATGCACACGGACTAGCCAGGGCTCCTCCTGCCCCAGCCTACCCAAATACCCTTCCAAAGCATCCATGGCTGGCAGGGCACCTCCTGTTGTCACCGTTCTCATGCCTAGGGAAGAAGCCCCTTCAGCAGACTGTGACCAGGGTGGCACCTCACCTTGTGGCAGGACCACACTGAGGACAGTGACCACCAAGACCAGGCTCAGAGACAGCGCCATGCACAGGCACCTCCAGGACTTGTCTTGCCACCCTGGGGGGAAACCAAGTCAGACGCTTCCTCTGCTTCCCAGAAAACTCAGATGGGCTCGAAGAGAGGCTGGGGACCCTACAAGAGCCCTTTACCATCCCGGGCTCCCAAAGGACTCCCCAGCGCATTGAGGACTCTGAAAAGGGCTGAGTAAGGAAGCCCTTCCAGGCTGCCCCTAGCAGCACTCTGGGAGGCTGAGGCAGGAGGGCCACAAGCTGAAGCCCATGCTGGGAAACTTAGCAACTTAGCAAGGCCCTTTCTCAAAACAAAGAATAAAACAGTCTGGGGACAGAGCTGAGTGGGAAGGCCCTGAGTTCCATCCCAGGACCACAAAAAATAAAACAAAAGGTAAGAAGGGCCTTTCCCTCCAGGACGGGATGGGAGGAGGTGTAACAGGGATAAGAGACTCAGCACCCTGCTGACCTCATGTGCGAAGGACCCCTGAACTCACCAGCCACTCCCAGCCCGCGGGAACACTTGGTCTCCAGCGCTGGGAAGTCCTTGAGGTCCCTACAGTTGTCGCCCCCACCTCTGGCCATGGCTGCACCACTGTGCCCGAGGTGCCCCCAGCGTTCTGGGGCAGCCACACCCCACACAGAAGGGGCCCCAGCACCAGCTGCACTTCCTTCCTGGCCAAGTGAGGGGCAGGTGACCGGGGACAGAAGGGACCCAGGTCCGCAGCTACTGTTCACTACCCCAAGGCCCAAACCACAGGTGTCTGCACCCTCAGGGGAGGAGACGCCCCCACCCGCGGGTCTCCTGCTCTGGGAGGTGGAATGCTCCAAAGCCACAGCCCTCATCTTTTCATGGGCGCCTGATGCCCGCCCACACTCCTCTTGGAAGGTGGGGAGCATGGTAATGACACATCCTCCTTCTCCTTCTCATCGTTTTTTATTCATTTATTCATTTATTTTGGTTTTTTGAGACAAGATCTTGCTGTGTGGCCCAGGGTGGGCTTGAAGTCACAGCGATCCTCCTGCCTCAGCCTTCGAGTGCCAGGATGACAAGCTTGTGTCACCATGCTCTGTGCGGTCCTTCAACTTCCATCCCCTCCATTCCCCTCCTCTCCTCGCCCGTCCCCTCCCACCCCTCCCCGACCCTCCCCCTTCCTCTCCTGGTCCTCTTCCAGATCTCTTATCTCCCCGCATCTGCTCCTCGGAGGTTCCAATGAATAATACCTTGAGCCGGAGCTTCCAACTGAAGAGGAAGCCCATAAACGCAGCCGCGCCTCTCACCTCCTTCTTCCCCCAGGCCCAGGCGCTCCCCTTCCTGCTCAGGATCCCGAGGACCCTGCTTCTGCGGGCTCCGCACACCAAGAAGCCAGAGGGCTCCTGGGACCCCTGGAGACAAATTCAAATGCAGCTTCACCTCCTCGCAGACACGACGCGGGAGGGGGTGTCCAATTTGTTTTCATTTTTGCTTGTTTGTTTACTGGGATGGTGGCAACATCTGTAACCCCAGTACTTTCCCCGCACTTAAAACCTGCCCTCAGGGCTGGGGTGAGGGGGCAGGACTGGCTTAGCACTCGCTTTGCAATCCCAGGACCCCCCAGACCTAATCACCTGGCAATTTCCATGCACAGTCAGCCCGCTTTGTGAGTAATGCTCCAAACAACCAATGATCCAAAATAGGTGTTTTAAAAGTTTCTGCATGGAAAAGAGGTAACCTTTTAGTAATACATATGAATGGAAAATGTTGAAAATTTATCAAATCAGCTAAGAAAAACAGAAACAAATGTCTTTAAAGGCCTATAAGGTTATTTGAAAAAACAAGATCTACTCCATGCTCTAGGATGGAATGAGCTATTATAAAGGTGTCAGTTCTTTCTAAATGAGCCAATATCAATAAAAAAATCTAGCTGGATTTTTTCTTTGGAATTTACAATCTTATTCTAATTGGAAGACTTAAATTTCATCAAGAATATGAAATCAACCAGGGTATGTGGCACACTCTGTGATCTCAGCATTTGGGAGAGGGTTGGCAGGAGGATTGCCACAAGTTCTGGGCCAGCCTGAGCTACAGAGTGAGTTCAAGGCCAACCTGAACAACATAGAAAGACCCTGTCTCAAAAAAAAAAAAAAAAGAAAGAAAGAAAAATATATATATATAAATTTAACATTCCTGTCACTTTCAACATTTATCATTTCTTTGCAGTAAAAACATTCATTCTGAGCTCATGCCTTCAGTTGGCCCTTGGCTGTAGTTTGGATCTTAAATGCCCTGTTAAAGGTCCCCTTGTGCTGTTTGGTTTTCAGCCTGAGGCAGTGGGGGGTGAAGAGTGGAACTTGCAGGATGTGGGACCTAGGGGGAGGAAGTGAGGTCCTTGAGATCATTGCCTGGAAGGGATGTTGGATGCTGGCAGCTTTCTGTCTCTCTGGACTTCCTGGCTGCCAGGAGGGGAGCAGTCTCCTCCACCACAGTGCACAGTGACACCACAACAGAGCCAAATGACAACAGATCGAATCTCTGAAAGGCCAAAATAAGCTTTTCCTCCTTTTAGATTACTTTACCTCAGGTATTCGTTGCTGTGATGGAAAGTTGGTGAACATGCCCATGTAGCCAGAGAGAGAGATCTCTAGTGCCCAGTCTGACCTGTTCTTCCCCTGCTCAAACATCTCCCATGGCTCCCCACTGTCTTCTATGCTAATCATGGATCTCCCTTTAAGCAGGGAATGGCTGTCCAGATGCAAAAGGTACAGAGCCGTTAGCTACCTCCAGCCACTGGATCTTCGGTCCCAGCTGGACACTGAGGCCACAGTCTACCTTCCTAGCATATCTCCATGCACTCATATTGTGGGAAGCCATGTAATTGGCTGCCACCTTATATCCACAGGCCGCACCACCTTACCTCCCTCTAAAGAGTTAAGTTTGGTAGTTAAGCAGCACCTTGCCTAGCTCGTATGGCCTATTCAGGGATTATGTTATGAGCCCGCACACAGGAAATTTGAAAATTTGATTTAATCTATAACCTTCAGTCTTGCCACTGTTGCTAAGTTACCTGCTGATGTCTCAGAACTCAACTCCCTCCTCCCCAATACCCCTATATATCTGATACTTTTTCCTTGAATAAATGAGACTTGATCGGACTTCTGTCTTGTCTCCATTCTTTGTGTCTCTTGTCCCTTTCATCACCACTCCCCCTCTAGGGTCTCCGTGGACGTACCCTGTCGGGAGCCGAGCCAGAGGACCTGCCTAAGCAGATGAGGCCTGTAGGAAAGAGCGAAGCCTTCAGTAGATTACCCCTCCCATCGAATGATGCCAAGATGGCGCCCGTTTCCTACTTCCGTATTCTTACCCTCAGCTTCTCCCTAGTTACAGCTGATGTCCCCCAATCAGACTTTGCCACGCCTTGTTACCCTATAGGACAGGACTATAGATATAAGGACAGAGCAGGAGGTAGAGAGAAGAGAAGACACGCAGACCATAGAGAGTGGAGGACTACGCGGGGTTACTCAACAGAGAGAGCCCCACTGGAGAGTCCGATCAGGGAGGAACGTTCCGGGGACGACCTGTGTGGAGAGTCAATAAACGCGACCTCTGTCTCTGCATTCTGGTGTGTCGTGTGAGTCAGTTCCCCTGCCGGTCGGGGGTTCAGAGGCCGCGCGGCGCATTTTGGTGGCCCGTACGGGGAGCTGATCACCCCCGTACTGCAGAGACAGACCGCTTTTGGCTTACCACGCGGCAGAGGTCGTCGGCCAGGTAAGTTGGGAGTACGCCTGGGCCCTGGGTGGCGCGCACCTACAGGGCAAGTTTCTTAACTCCCCTGGTGTACATACGCCAGGTATCGAGGTGAGCAGATCTTAGCCACCCGAGGGTATCTTTTGATAGAATATGGGCCAATTACCGAGCAAAGAGGCTGGGGATTTAGCCAAGGCCCTTAAGAGACTGTTAAAAACAAAAGATCTTGGGGTAAGTCGTGCCACTCTCGAGCTGTTTATTGCCGAGATTGACCGGATAGCCCCGTGGTTCCTACCCACGGGACGTTTGACTTTGCCTTCATGGGAGAGGTTGGGGGGGATCTGGCCTCTGCCGAGCTCGGCGGGGACTTATCCCCTTCCGTTCGCCCCTTGTGGGAGATGATACATACCTGCTTAGAGAAGGAAAACGAGGGTTTCCCGCCCGCTGTCCATGGTGCAGGTATCAAAGAGGTGAGAGAAGCCTTCGAACGGGCGAAAGCTGAAAACTCTAGGGAAGGTTCCCTTCGGGAGGAAGACCCCAGGGGGGAGGAATCGGACTCGTCTGATTCCTATTATGAAGAAGCACAGTCCAGGAAAAGCATCTATGGGGGTCTCCGACGCGAGCTCCGCGCCATCTCAATGGGGGACGCGGAGGGAGAAAAAGAGAAGCCCTCTGCTGACCCCTGCTGGCGACAGGAGAAATTACCTTCGGCCCCACCTTGGGACCTATTTCCGGAGGCGGTGCGCCGTGAGGAACTGTGCCACCAGGGGGCGCAGAGTGAGGTTAGGAGACTGGCGGCTACTATCGGTCCCCGCCCATCGCCACCGTCCTATGCTGAGCCGCCTCGGGGTTCAAGATACTTCCATGGCTCGCTCTGGCGTTCTAAATGGTGGGCGGGACCAAGGATGCCGGAACCAGGGATAGACGTGGGCCCCTATGGAGTGTACCCCATACAAGTTGCCCCAGGCCAGGGTAGGAATGTGTGGGAGCCTTTTGACCTTAAGCAGATAAAAGAGTTGAAAAGCGCGGTCACGACTTTTGGCCCCGAAGCTCCATACACGGTGGCAATACTAGAAAATCTCTGCTCTATTCCCCTTACGCCTGGGGATTGGGCCCAATTGGCTAAGGCCTGCCTTCCAGCTGGCAGCTATCTGGATTGGAGGGCTTGGTATGCTGAGTACGCAGCAGAACAGGCAGAGAGGAATGCTGCCGGGGGTCATAGGGGATGGAGCAGAGACATGTTAACGGGGGAGGGGCAATATGCTGAAGATCAAACGCAGTACCCCAGTGCAGTCTACGAGCAGATCAATACTATTGGAATGCGAGC